AAGATGGACTGACACGGTGGCTGCAGCGATGGGCTCAGGTATGTTAGAGACTATGAGGCTGGCACAGGACCAGGCAGTGTTTTGTTTTGTTGTACATAAGGTCACTATGAGTCAGAGACGACTCAATGGCACATAATGACAACAACAAATATATACCAAAGATTATTAGTGGTTATCAGGGGTATGAAGGAGGGGAAAGGGGAAGTTTTTGTTTGCGAGCCCAGAGTTTATGCTAATGGTGGTGGAATATTTGTGAAAAAGATAGCCAGAATGGTGGCACACCATGAAAAATGTCATCAATGTCTCTGAGCTGTGAATGTAGCAGTTGATATGTGGTGAATGTCTTGGTGTGTATGTTTTCACCACAATAAAAATGAACAGAAAAGTAACGACCAATTTCCAAAAAGAAGAGATCAATATCTACTATTCTCATGTCTGAACCAGCCCCTAAATTATATGATTGTTGTAAGCATATTATTCTATCAACTGAAATGTGAAATATAATGGTTAAAATCTGGAATTCTAGCACAGAGTGACTGCCATTAACCCAAACTCTAGCACTTGTTAGCTGCATGGTAAGTCACTTCCATTGACTGAGGTTCAGTTCTTCATCTGCCAAATGGGCTATAATAGCATCTATTTTATAGGGTTATTGTGGTTATTAAATGAACTAACATAGATGATCAGAGCAGTGCCAGATATAAAATAATTAGCTCATTTTATTAAGATTCCTTCTACCACTGAACCCAGTCGTCCAAAGATGCCTTATAGATCTTTTTCCCTAGAAGCATACACATTTATTTAGAACACAAATTCTACAACAGAAGTAACAGAATGACAATATTCCTTTCGTAATCAGAAAGGTACAAACATCTTGCAGCTCACTGGAATGAAAAGACGCCTGCATATCAATCATATTGTTGTTGTTAGGTGCTGTCGAGTTGTTTCCAACTCATAGCAACCCCATGCACAACAGAATGAAACTCTGCCCAATTCTGCGCCAGCTCCATGATCCCTGCTATACTTGAGCCCATCATCATAGCCACTATGTCAATCCATCTCGTGAAGGCCTCCCCCTCTTTCGTCGA